CTCTTCAGCTGCTGTCTGTGTGAGAGTTTCTTGATTACACATGAACATGCACACATTTAAACAGATCAAATTGCTAACTCCAAAATGAAGGTGGATTTATACAGAAGACTTTAGTGAAACTATTTTTGTGGGTCAGATACCTAGTAGGTGAGCAGTAATCTTCCCAAACAGAATTCCTGCTCAAATAAGTACACAGCAACTAGTATGACATAGTATCCGATTTGTTTATAATATGGTGCAGTTTATAACTCTGGCGAAGAGAGTTATAAACTCTGGTTTTTGACAACCAATAGCTCTGCAGTTGGCGACTTCAGCTGCTAAGCATTTGCTTTTTAATCCAATAGACTTAAAGTCTGTAAAGATTCTCAGTCAGCCAGGTCATGGTTGTCCCAAAGGTGCTTTTTCAGGAGGCAACTGTACTTTCTTGTTTTTTCCTTGAAGATGTTTCACTTCTCATCCAAGAAGCTTCTTCAGCTCTGACAGGAGAGTGGGGAATGGAAGGAATCCTTCTTGCACGAGAAGCTTCTTGCATGAGAAGCGAAATGTCATCAAGGAAAAAAGTTGCCTCCTGAAAAAGCCCCTTTGGGAATCCTTTGTCAGTCATTATGATTTCAAACCATATTTTGTTTATTCCTAAGCAGTTACAGTAATTTTCTCTTTTAAGAAATCATGTCCTTCTTAATCACCATTTCTTTGAAGAAAGCAGAGACATCTATGACCCTGCTGTCCCCACATGACATTTTGTCCACACTGTGGTCAATTTCACAACTAGACCTTATAAAATCAGGTTATAAAATCAGGTTATAAAATAGAGTATTCTCTCAAATCTTGAAGCCATAATTTTCTCTGCCAATTTAAATAGAAGAATCTTCCCTTAGCAGTGATCTGCTTCTAGTGCTGCACAATATGTAGAAGGCTTAATTACACAAAATTCTCATCGTGAAAGCAACTAGGGAATAGAGTTTTGAGGGATAGTAGCATACAGACAGGTTGGGGTGTGTACCATGTGTTCAGTGCTTGAAACAGTTGTCACACTGACAGAGTAAAACACTCAAGTAGATCACTCAACACAGCTGTTTCTAGAGTTTATGGACCGAGTTTCCATATGCTCATTAAGACACGAGAGAAGTGCAAATTAAAATTACTTATCTTGCTCTTCCATTTTTTACTACAGCAAGACTAGGATTTAGTGAGCATTCTCTGGACATTTGCAATGTGTTGCTAATATTTAAAAATCTCTCTAGAGCAAATGAAGCTTCAGCTTAAAAAAGAAGGAAAGAAAAGAAAAGCAATACTAAGATATAGCTGGAATGAAACTTGCTTTCAGCATCAACTGTTCATCACTTGTAAATTAAGAATATTGATTATATTGAATATTAATCAGTTGCTTTGACAAGGCTTTGTGCATCTCTTGGCCAGTTGGAATTTTACATCAGAATTTTTGCGTTATAGCACTTATGACTTTCTGTAGACTTAAAAATATTATTACAGATTAACAGAGAGTAAAAATGAAGCCATTTCTTTCTCAAGTAGGGACATCTGCCGTGAGGGTTAAGAAAAGACAAGATGGCAGTTGCAACCATACAATGGTAGACCAACCCCTTTTTGTGATGCACCCATCTTGATTTTGCTTACCCACCTACTACTGTGACATCCCTTTTCACAAATTAATTTCTGAGACACTCTTTTGCACTGATTACCTTCCTATTCTGCTTAGTATGATGTTAGGTGAGTGAAATTGTAAAATATTTGACCAGGGTAGAAAACCTACAAGCTTGTGCTTGCAAATTGATGTTTTCATATCATGCCTTTTTTTTTTTTAGGGGAGAAGAATTTTTAATTTAAGTTTTTTTTTTCCTTGTGGGATAGAAAACTGGGAGTGAAAGTAAATTCTGGCTAACATAGGTCAAAGGACAAATCTGGAAACAAAGTCAACTCTTGTGCTTCTACAGTGACAGAAATAGATGAAGACTGATGTGGAGGTGGAAAGTGGATACTTTTAAGAGAGATATTATAAAGAGGGACTGCTAAGCAGGCATGTGAGTCATTTACTAGAAACATACCCTTTACTACTCTAAAACAACTTTCATCTGATCCTGTTTCATTTGCAACTATTTTTCTAAAAAATAAAATAAAATCAGGGCAGGGGCAAGATCAAAACAAGATGGTTGAATCAACTCTGCGTCGAAAGCCTCCCCATTTTGTATGTGCATATTTATATGCCCATTTCCCTTTGTTTTGGCCCACTTTGAACACTGCGGAATAAAACCTGGATATTTTATTTGTATTTATTTTATTTATTTCTTTGTCAAACATGTACAAGATAAGTATGAACATAAACAAGAACAAAGGAAGTAAATACAGATAAATGGGGACAGTAAGACAGGGATGGTAGGCATGCTGGCATAACATTGAAGTATTTCTGTAAAAGAATTGTTTGATCCTACCAAATTACTATATTCAAAAAATTAACACCAATACTTATTTATATGTTAGTACCAAAGCAACAATGCATTTTCTTTCAGGCAATATTAATCAATGATTGAACTCATACAATATTTAAATCAAAGTTTACCTATGATTTGTTCACTTAGTGACAGTTGGCTAGGTTTGCAGTGCCATAATGGTGCTAAGTCATAAATCTTGACTTATAAATCTTAATGTCTGGATTCATGCATCACAGTAAATTATATGACCCCATTACAAGTTTACACCTGGAGGTCCCAATCTTTGATTCTGGAGGCCAAGTTAATACCTAATCACCTATGAAACTAGTGAAAATGGAACTTATTTATAGAGAGGTTTTTTGTGGGGAGGGGATGATGAATGAGTATCATCTGAGCTACTGTTCCATTAGTCTAAGTTGTATCTACTGTTTTATTGTTGCATACTGTGTGGAATCTGTGCAGTTTATAGCGGTATATTCGTTAAATGAATAAATAAATATTCATACAACTTGCTAAGACATCAGTTGTGCTTTGCTGAAGACAGTGACTGAGCTCACATAATAACTCATTCTGCATATGTTTAATAAAATCTAATTGGTCTTACTTTTGTAAACTCGTATGTGCAGCCATATGTGTTTGTACACAGAGATGCCCAGTCTAGATCTTCAGGGAACAGGTGAGATTTCACAAATGGAATAATTCTTTCAAGAGGTAAGAAGACAAAGACTATTACCCATAAGTCCTATTCTCACAATGTACTTAAGTAAATTAGGGGGAGGAAGTGGAGGTTAATAACTTGTAAATAAAAGAAAAATAAGATAAATCAACCCAGTCAATTAACCATAGTAAGGTTAAATTTAACTCCAAATCAACATTGTAAAGATTGGTGCAAAATTAAAATCTTTATTCTGCCATCTACTTTTCTTACAGAAACACATTTCCTCTTAGCATCCACTTATGTCAACCTAGGACACATTTACTACCACAGAAAACAACTAGACTTTTAATTTCTTCATATTCATTTGGTATCTTCTTGTATCTATCTACCCAATCTGTTTCTATTTTTGACACAAAATCTATATGAAGTAGACTCCGGAAAATCAGCCTCAATATGGTACAGCGATTTTTAATTAATTACTTTTTTTAATCAGTCCTCTTCAAACATAAGTCTTTGTAAGATCCACTTGGTAGCCACAGCTTGAAATTCAGGCTATATGTGGTTGTATGTATTCATGCCAACATGAGCTCTTGAAATTGAACAAGGTGAACTTCAGCTTCAACATTTGGTTAAAATCCTGGATGCTATATGAAATGATCATATAATACTGAAAAGAAATGGAATAGTAAAGATCCGTGTTGGTGAACCTATGGCACATGTGCCGGAAATGGCACGCAAGAGGTCACCCAGAAGAGCCCAACCGCACATGTGCACGGCCGCCGCTTCCTGACAACTGATTGTCAGGTATCTGGCGTGCATGTGGGGGGGATAGGGGTGCACGGAATACGTGTGCACATGTACAGAGACACGTGGCACACAAGGGGGAGTCACACGTGCAGGGGGCATGAGAGGACAGCATTGTCTTCTGGGTGCTGGCATGCGAGACCACGTGCATAAGCATGCACACAATTTTCAGCACGGGAGCCAAAAAAGGTTAGCCACCACTGGCCAAGATGCTACAGTGTGCAGCCCTACTTAAAATCATTCATGTAACTGCCATGAATATACATGCTAGTTCTCTATATAGGTGGCCCTCAACTTATGACCAGATGGTTAACGATCAAAGTTATGGTGGATCCCTGAAAAATTATTTACGATCCGGTTTCAAAGTTCTGACATTATTATCACCCTGTAATCAGATGACTTCATTTTTTTGGTGCTTATTTATGGTTGTTTGCAGCCACCCCATAGCGAACAATGGATTTGCTTAAAGACTACAGTGTTCACTTCACAACACCACAAAAACGATCCTAAAATTGGATCTGATCCTAGGGTGACCCTCCTCATGATTTATGACTAATTGCTCAATTGGAGTAATTGGTCCAGTTATGGTAGGAACAGCTGAACAAAAAACCTAGCAACTACTGGATTTACTACTCTGACCTTTATAAGATGCCTTTAGGAAAAAAATGTCGTTTGAGACATCAATTCACCTCCTAAAAATCTCTCAGTTTTGCATTTTTCCAACTCTAGCTCCGATTAATCCCCAGCCTGCCTTTGCACAGGTGGAACAGGTGCTAAGCCACCGCAGGACAAATTGTAAATTCCAAGAAAAATGTGCAGCTGTCGGCGGCCGCCTTAATCAGATCTGGGTTGTTGTTGTTGTTTTTTTAAAAAAATCTTTCCATCCCCCCCCCCCACACACAAACACTGCTTTTTTTCAAACAGCTGAAAGACAAAAGAGCCGGTATAGCAGCTCCAAAGAAGAGCAGTGGGCGGGAGAGCTGATAAGAGAGCAGCCAATCCGAGAATCCCTGCGTGCTGAGGTTCATGCTCATTGGCTGCGAGAAAGACACAAGAGATGCCTTTATAGTCGTAGGGCATGGGCCGAGGAAGGAACGCCTTGATGGGTGGGTGTTTTTCCCCAAGCATCCTTCCTCGCGTGGCAGCGATTCGCAGCAGAGGTGGCAAGGGATGGGGCCTGTTGGTGTAGGTGGGTGAAATACTAAAAACTTCTCCGAATTTTCTGCCCTCCACCTCGGTTTTGGAAGCTGGGACTCTTGGTTCTTCTCGTGGGGGTGGGACTAGAAAGGAAGCAATTGATCGCGTGGGTTTCAAAACAAAGGGGAGGGGAGAGTCGGTAGGGATCCTTCTGATCTATTTCTCAGGCGTCCTAGTTGTACAACCAGATACTTGTTATATCATGAGAATTAGAATGAATTTGGGGTTTTTTTTTTCATTATTCAGAGTTATTTCACTTGCTGTTTTTCTAGGTAAGTTGGGATTTGAATGTGATGTGTGTATTGTCTGGATATATTCTCTAAGTATACATACATTCAGACATTGGAATTCTAGACTGTACTTCTCTACTATATTTGATGTATGGCTGTTAAACTGTTATCTCTTCAGTTTTTCAATTATTGCTTTGTTTACAAAAAAAAGATGTAAGACAGGTCAGAGTTGGTTTTGAAGGAATTCCAGATTTTTAGGTAAACAACTACTGAGCAGTGGAAAGGAAGAGGAGTAAGAGAGAAACTCAACTCTGCCTTGATTCTCTTTTATATAAGGGGAATGATGGGAAACTCAGCCAAGCTTTCAAGATTTTATATCCTATAATAATAGTATTGGTATGTTTCCCACACACAGTCAAGAATTTAAAGTTTCTAGGGTCTTTGAGCATAGTCATAATATTCCTTAGAGAGGACTTGAAATCTCTGGAGAGACAAAAATATATTTGAAAGAAGAGGTGGTTTTTAGGGTTCTCTGTTAATGTAATTGATGTTTAGTGGATATGGGGATTTTATATTTTATTCTTAAGAGTCTGCTTCAGAAAATGATTCCTTTGCTTCTCTTGACTCACAGGTTGTAGCAGTGATGAACTTCATTTTCTTCTGATTTTTACTTCCTGCAGGGTAGTCCAGATGCTACAGTACCACCTACTGATGCCATGACACAGACGTTTCCAGCCCAGTATCCACCGCCACCACCCCAGGCCCGACTCCCCCCACAATACCATCTCCACAGCACTCCATCTGAGTACCCATCTCCAACTGCCCTGGATCATAGCCTGCGCATCTTTCCTGAGCAGGGCACAACGGCATCGGATCCGCTACCATTGCCTCCACCTCCTGCTGTAAGTGGAGGGTTGGTTATCTAGCCCTCATGAAGGAAATGTCAAGGCAAGGGCTACCTGGGATAGTTGGGGAAGTAAGCAATAAGCCTGCGTAATAACTGTGATCATTTCTTAGGTATTCCTCAAGTACATTCTGCTACTAGAACAGGTTCTGACATTCTCTCTGGCAGAGAATACAAGACAAGCTATAAAGGGTATTAGTTGGCCTGCATTTCATTTCCATCACATCCTCTTCCTGCACCTCTGTATTTGAACCTTGATGTTTGTATTTTCCTGTCATCTATTTATTAAGTATCCAGCTATCAAAATTCTCTGCTGCTTCGTGAAAGGGATAGCATCATTCATAGTGGCACGTTTGATGGCTGGGTATTTTTAAAGGTAAGGGTCATTTAGAGAGTGGATTAAAGCAAAGCTTCCCTATATACAAGGTTTGGCATACAAGACTTTGCTGAACTCGTAGTTTCCTGGATGCCCCAGACATTTGGATTTCCAAGTCTGAATTAAAGCCTTGGCAAAAACTCAACTCCGAGCAGCTACCCTCGTTTCTAGAGTCAGGGTGGGGTGGGGACAGGGGAAAAGATAGAACACTGAAGATGAATAAAATTCTCAAAAGATATATCTTTAGAGCAAAAAAGACAATTTTCATTTTGTAAAAGAAATCTGGAATAACCATTACATATCTGTGAGCTTTTGTTGCATGTAAATGTTGCTAAGTCTTATTGCAGTAGTATAGTTATAGTAGGTGAGGGGTGTCAAACTCACGTTGTCACCACTGCATCACGTGACGTATTGGGACTTTTCCCTCCTTTGTTAAACTGGGTGGGGGCGGGGCCAACATGATGCATCCGGCCCGCGGGCCATGAGTTTGACACCCCTATAGTAGGTGGTCAGATTGTCCTTTAGATTTAGATACATTTCAGTCAATAAGGAAGTTCTATCACCAACTCCCATGATTTTATGTACATTTCCTTTTCCTTTCATATCTGCCAATTCTAGGGAATTGCTCTTTTCCCAAGGATTGAGTTTTGTACCCATCTTTTCATTCAGGAGCTCAAGGTGGCATGCATAACATTCCTTCCTCCTACTTTTCACACCACAGCAATCCTGGGGTGTGTGTGAGAGGGAACACATATACACACATCCCCAAAGTAACACACTATACTCTCTTAGCTGAGGGTAGGCAAAAAACCCTGGGTCTCTGTTCCTTAACACCTTCATTGCCACATCCATTTGCTAAGCTTGAGCATTTTCCTTGGACCCAGATTCTTCCTGCTTCTCCGCCATCTTCCTCTGTTCCCCCTCTATTCAAGCAAACTTTCTCTTCTCTTATCCTAATCCCAGTTCCTTAGAAAACAAAATGTATATCAATCCATCTAAACCTAACCTAAAACAGAATAAATTATTCAGGCCTTAAATTTATCACATCAGGACTTTCAAGAAATTTTGAAAAAGATGTCTCTACTGAGCATCTGTAAATGGTGATTTCCTTTATGTAGAATATTTAGTACTTATTCACTCTCTGTGCAAGCTTGTGAAGTTTAAGATGCAAAGTCGCAAGGTATAAAAATGTATGGAACAACTTTACAGAGTTCTTTGACCATCAGTTCCTAATATAGCTCAAATCTTCACTTTTTTCTTTTTGTATGTATTTTATTGACATTTTTAAAACAGATGAAAGCTAATATGAAGTAAAGGAAAAAGCCAAGAAAAAGCAAAAAGTGCAAGAAAAGAAAAAAATTGAAAAATAGAATGAAAAGAATAAAAAAGTGGCTTCTGATATCCTTCACCATTGTTAGAAGTACAATTATATTTTAACCTCTCAAGTTATATGACAATATTATTTTTATAATCTATTCTGTCTAATCATCAAAACCATGAGCCACAAATTTTTTTCCCCCACTTTTACACCAAAAGTCTATAAGAAGCTTTTAGTTAATCCTTAGTTCTTTTTTCTACTCTGATAAAAGCTACCCCTCCAAAATCCACTCTGGCCCTTTCTGTTTCATCTTTTTTAACTGTGAACCCAACAGTATTCACTGTTTCTCTATGCCCTTCCAATGCAACATGCAAGGGCTTCACTTGTTATTGTTTGCTCTCATTCAGGACTGCCTTGTAATTAACAAAATGGCAAATTACTTAGGAGTTGACAAAAACTTTTTTTTTTGCAGTGACAGGCTGGGTTTTTTGTTCTAGTGCAGTTTAGTTCCCTCCTTTAATATTCCCAAAGAGAAACTTGATGGGATTGCTAGCCTAAGGCCAGAAGTAAGGTTGGTTTCTTTGGGACTGAGAAGGAGGTATTATTTAAAATAATACAGGCAGAGGAAGGCTAATACATCTTTGATTTTGTCAACTACTTGCTATCTAGAGCTCACCATCCCACCCTACACCACTTCCTTTCTAATGCTTCTGTTGTTTATGGAATTATGGTCATAGGAATCTAAATACTTTAGATCTCTTGTCATTTCCATTACTCCTAAGCCATGGTTGAAGAGAATCTGCAATTCCATAGTGCACCAGTTTCCTCTAACCTTGCAGCGCAGAATGTTTGGGTGCTTCTCTGTACTCCAACAGGAACATTCATTGCGCTCCAACTTCATTCATACCGGAGTTCTAGAAAGAAGAGGAACAGTATCAAATTTGGTACCTGGGGAGCTGCAGTGTGAATGCCGCTAATGTATATCTGCTTAATCCTGAAGTAAGATCTTTCTGTCTTGGCAGAATCTTTTTCCATCAACTTTGCTGACAGGTACTGAATTTGCCTGAGATATTTTGCTATCAATACTGTTTTTTTCCCCCTGGAATGGCTCGAGCAGTTAAATCCCAGCAGGAAGTTCCACCATCACCATGTGTTGAGTCAGTTTGCTTTTTGACTATGTTAGTAGAGGTATTACTTCTAACAGTTTTCAGAATATATTTGTTCTCTGCAAATAAGCTGCAAGACTCTTTTGTTCTCTAGAGAAGCATTATACATTGATGTTGATGCATGATAAAATCTTGCCTGCAGCTTTTGCAGGACTCTCACATTTCTATGACATACCTACCACTTGGTTCCTGGCAATTTTCAGAGCTGAATCCCACATGTCTTTTTAAAATATATTGAATACAGTACTGAAAATTTTGCAACTGCAGCTGATCCCTTAAGGGCAATTAGATAATTTGTTGTAATTAATAGGCAGGACAAACCAATCCAGATATATTCCAAACCTCTGCTAGAGAGAGAAGCTCAGTGAGGCAACCTAGTACTTTCCAGATATTTTAGAAGAGTGTGAATATTATAGTCTACCTGAAGAGTAACAGATTCCCTCCCTCTGCCTCAATCTGCTAGCCAGTTGGCAACCCAATTACTTAGAAATCCTCCAGTGTTTTGACTGGGGGGTACATCTTGAGTTTTGTGAGCACTACATCTCCTGGATGGTTTCCTCCCAGTAAGATTGCTATGATCATATGGCCTTTCACAAACCAAAACATTAGAGGAGACATGGAGGCACAGATCCCTGTCATTACAGTAAGTCACATAGTTGTTGAAAACTATTTGGGCCAAGAGTGAACAGTGAAGAGTGGCTTTTCAAGCAGGGTCAAAGTCTGTTTGCCAAAACTTTATGGTACTTAATGCACTTGTGAAGTATTTGTGATAGCTATAATACACAGAACATACCTATATAAATGTATCGTTCTTTATATAGTACTAAGGGTTTATTAATTTAAACAGAGCTTTGAAAACAAGTATCCCTTCCTGATTGCCGGAGGTAGGCCTAATTTATTGTTTGTGACCAGAGGAATGTTTCCTGCTGGACAAATTGATGTTTGGTCAAGTTCAGTTTTTTACTTTATTGCCAATACTATCCTGAGAGAAAAAGGTACTTTTAAACACATGTATTAGAGAAATAAAATTGAGGGCTATGTACAGTGCTAGAAATTCTTGTGTGTGGACTCACCAAATACCATCAAAATGAAACTAGCAGAAACAGGTAAAAACTAAAGACACAACTGAATAGTAAGTGTATTGATTGCTAGGGAGCCTCAGTGGCGCAGTGGTTAGAGTGCAGTACAGCAAGCTACTCCTACTGCAATTTGACAGATCGAATCCCACCAGGCTCAAGGTTGACTCAGCCTTCCATCCTTCCGAGGTGGATAAAATGAGGATCCAGATTGTTGGGGGCAATATGCTGACTCTAAATAGCTTTGAGAGGGCTGAAAAGCACTATAAAGCGGTATATAAGTCTAATTATTATTGCTATTACATAATTAAATATTAGAAAAGAAATGTAGTAAATTCTTAGTCTTGTTACTAGGAATGGGGGAGGATATTTGACCATTAAGGCCAAATATGATTTTTGGCCTGGAAAAAAATTGAACAGCCTGAGTTATAAAGATCAGGCAATTTTCTTTCAAACGGGTAGAATGGAAACATTTCAAATCGAAAGCCTTGAGTATTAAGCTTCAGAGTAAGAAACTTGAAGTTATTGGTCCAAAGGATCCAATAATTTCTCATTTGGGTACATTCTGAAATCTCTCCTTAGTTTTCCACCTCATACAGCCACAGAATCCTTCTCCTTCATCTGTAATCCAGCAATTGAGTCAGTGGCTTTGGTGGTGACCATATTGGGTAATAACGCCTTTCTGCAGCTAACAGCTGCACCCATATCAGATTCTCTGCTCTATCTCTTTCACCTCCCCCCTGCCCCAAATCTTTCACCATCTTCACCAGCAGCTGTTTATCTCCGCGTGGACAAGTGGCACGTAGCCGACAGCCTCACTTCAAGGACACCATGTCCTTTGATGAATTGTAAGCAGAGATGGCCACTTGTTTCATGTCCAAGACAAAAAGTCCAATCAACACTTGTTTCCCTCTCCCAGGGGACAAAATAAATAAATAAATGAACATAATGGAGCCTTTTCAAAAATATCCCAGGATCTATCTCCTGAAGCAAGAATAAGAAGACCTACTAGAGTCATCTTTTAGAGAGATGGGTAGCATAAAAATTTAATAAATAAATTTAATAAATTAATTACCCTGATGCTAAATGAGGAGATTTGGAGTATTTAAAGTAAGATGGAAATTATACTGGTATTTATATTGGTTTTTGTCATCATTTCATGACCAGAGAGAGATAGTTGTGGGTTTTTCAATCCCAAATCGCTTTTCAAATTTTAGGTGTTTTGCATCCTGACAACTGGGTAGAGAGCACCATTTTGCTCAGGCAGTTAAAAGTCTTGACGGATTCTGAAGCAAGTTTCCTCGGGGGACATGCCCAGAGCTTCTAAGAGAACCCTTCTTTGCTGGGCAAACCTCTTTCACAGACTCCAATTTACTCTTTGCCCTTCTAACTTAATATCCAAACTAATTGGGTTGCCAACTGCCCAGAGGAAAAGCAAGAAGAAATTGCGTGTGGGGGGGGGGGGGATTCAAATCACTTCTCTTTTTCTTATGCTTCTAACAGTAGTACATAAGTTACATAAATCAGAAGGGCATTTTTTTCATAGCTATATAATCACAAGCTGATTCCTGTAATTCACATTGTTTTTAAAGACAACTGCAGGGACTTTTTCAAAAGTTGGCAACCCTGCTTGCCAATTCAGCACCTGGCCCTTGTACATCCAGGCAATTTCTGAATTTTGTTTTCCTTTCACTGAATAAATGCCAAAATATCTCAAGGGAGAATGAGCTTTGATCCTGCTTGGCCATATGCTTGCAACTCCCCTTTTTACTTTCACCTCCTAGCTTCTGAAAGCTGATGTTGCTGGGATTAGACTCTGTGTGACCCCCCAGCCTCACCCTAAATACTGCTGAATCATGCTGTGTTTTGGGTGATGTGCTGGAAATTTAACACACAGTGTTTAAAGACCCACAGTTGCCTTCCCTTCTGTTAAAGGTGTACTTATAATAAATATGACTCTTTGTCCATTCCTTCCCCAATCATTTTGAGTATCAATTGTGTCTAGAATGCTTATTGTAAATGCTTAATTTATGTTGAATGTGTTGGCTGCACTAGCAGCAGTCCTGTCTGTTTTTCTCCTGTATATGAGTTTTATAGCTTTTTTTAGCATATCACATGCTTTGTTACTGATACATCCTTTTATGCACTTTTCTTGGTGGACCAAATAGAGCGTGTTGTTGTAACTCATCTTTGTGTTTTCTTTTTTCTTTTTCAACCTCATGGAACATGAGAGCTACTCCTAGCTTGTAGCAAAGCTGTTCTTGCAATGACTCCTTGTATCTTTCCTGGACTAGGGCCTTTTCCGAGGTGCTAATGGCAACGTGTGCGGACCTCCTGCCGAGCTCAGGTTTTCTTCCAGGCATCTTGGACTCCATCACATTTCTCTGGCTCTAGTCTCATTAATACATGAATAGTTAACCTACTCACTGCGCAACTGCACCTGCCTGTCTTCTCAGCCTGACACTTGAACTCCCTCCCCCATCCCACCACTCCCTTTGCATTTTATCCTCCCAACAAAAAATGTTGGGCCCCATTGGAAAGAGTTTAATCCTTGTTGAACTTGTCTTTATAAGCAGGACTTTGTAGCTTTGGGGGATCCTTCTGGCTACTGGGAGGTGGCTATGATGATGGGAACTAGGCTGGTATATTGCCCTTGGGGTGAATAGCGGTATGGGGACACAGGGGAAGGTTTGGTGGGCTGAGGGGGATGGCTCCTGCTTGGAGGGGTTGTCTGCATTTGGGAGTGGCTAGAATTTTGTGCCCGTGTACTTTAATAGTAACACTACAGGTGGTGTGTGCTAAGACAAGCAAAATCACTGTCCAGTTCCCGAGTCTCTAAGCATGTTCACAGAGGGTGTGTACTTTGGATATCATTCTGATTTAGGGCTCAGAAATAAAGGGGAGAATCATAGAAGAGGAATATTGATCTGAGCCTGATTCCCTCCCAGTCCGTAAGGAAACTGAGTTCACCCAGTCTCTGGGCAAGGAAAGTAGTTCAAGACCCATGTTGTTTCTGAATGGAAATTCAGGAAAAAAAGGTTGGAGAACACTGACCTCATTGCCATGCTTCAGAGCTACTACCTCTCACAGCTGCTTTTCATCTTTAAAAGGTGGGAAACATTACTTTTGTCTGCTGTGCAATTTATGGTTTGGTACTGAATAAAACACATTGCTATACACTAAATATACTGTTTCAGACAAAACAAAAAAGATGCTTCAGGTTCCGATTCAGATCAAGCCCTTCTGTTTTTGGAAAAATAAATGTCTGCCTTCAGAGTCTGAAAATTTAGAAAATGCCAAGAAGTAAGATGCTATATTTTTCCAGTCTAAGGGCATAATCAAATGCAAATTAAAAATGCATAACACATATTAAATTAGTTCAGCTGAATAATATACGTTCCAGATAGTTTGACTTAAAATAGACCTGGTTTTTATAGACAGCAGATGATAGAGCAGCAATCCTATTTCTGGATTGTATCAGTTTAGATGGCAGGAAGAGCTCATATAACTGAATGCTCAGCTCCTTCTAAAGTAGTTCCTACATTAGATATTACAGAAAATGTTAATTTTATCTTTTGTTACATGCTAGTGTTTTTCTATGGAAATGTACTCTACACTTGGCTGTTCAAAAGAAAGTATTTCACACTAGGGGCTAAATTAATTCATTCCAAATGGGTAGATGGCATTGCAAGCATGTAGGTAAGCATTCAGATATCCTTCTGCTTTGAACTCTCAATGCACTTTCTACCATATACATAACATGCACAGTATCTCTTTCCATTCATAAACAGTTAGCCTTGTTTTGCAATTAATCTCTCATGCTGTAGCCATTGCTAGCTGATCATATGACTACTGCTTTAAATAAACTGGTCTGGTTTGTGCATTATGTTTTGCTCAAAGGGAAACTTGCTTGCTCCTATAATGGTAGTTATCATGATATGTGAAAAACAGTTTATCCCTTTAGCATGATGTGATTCCAGCCAATTGTGTTTATCTAGATCTGTGTTTGAAGTTGTATCTACCCCACAAAATCCCTTTTGTACATGCCTGTTATTTTTCTGGTAGGTGCATCCAAAGATGATCGTGCATGCCCTTTATAGGCCATGCCCTCTCCTGGCTAATCTGTGGCAGGAATTTTGAAGACAAGTTCAACTTCCTCCCCAACCCTGGCCAGATTAATTGCTCTTCTGGCTCTTCTCTTCTTCCCCCGATCCTTCAGCACTTTGGACATTGCAAGACATAGGCTGTGCACATTTGGTCTGTTCTCAGAATGCTGCATCGTGGAAGTTGCATTGTGCCATAAGAAGGGCCATCTGCATGGAGAAGAAAGAGATGTGGGTTTGGGGTGGTTCTCTGTCACTTGGCCCTCTGGTCTTCTCCACAACATTCTCATAAATTACATCCTTTCAACCAGTCTTGCTTCTCTCCACTAATGGTTTTCTGTATGCTGCCATGTGTCTGTCCTGTTCTCTAACCCAAGACAGAATGTTTGCTGGTGCATTGAAATATGTTCTGTGAATTTTTTTTTTGATGTGTGGATGGTTGGAAAGAAGGTTGGAAAGAAGAAAACACCATTCCCTTTAAAGGGAAATAATGGATTTTATGTTGAAATTGGGATTTGCAACACATGAGGAACAACTCAGGTCTCAAAGCCATTGTTAGGTAAAGTTAACTTGCAGTCATATAACTAGATGACGAAATTCTTAGGATGACCCCGTTCATGAAGTTATCAATTCTATGGATGGTTTTTAAAGGGCAAAAAATAGGCCTGAGAACCTAAAACAGGGGTCCGCAAATTTAGCATCTTTAAGACTCGTGGACTTTGTAACTCTTTGTTCTTTTAATACAGTTCCTCCCAACTAAGGAAAAAACATTGACATTATTAATTATGGGAAGGGTGTCCCTCTACTTGGCTAGGATCACTCCAGGAACTGGAGGTTTGATAAAATGCTCCCTTATATATGAAGATATCCATGCACATAAAATATTGGTCCATCTGATAGATAATTAGGCTAGAAATCTTGTCTCAGATGGGCTACTTTTCTTCATTGTTTAATTACTTGAGAGAATGGTCAATATATATATAGAAAACATCTCTATATATAGAAAACAAATATATATGTATGTGTATATATATATATATAATTATTTACATTTATCTGCAGCTTCTTAGTGAATGCTGTGCCATTTGAAAATTAATGGAGATAATAGGAAACAAAAGGAACTAGGAGTTAGTTCTGATTTTTCTTCCGTTACATCATAAGCCAAATGCAATCAATAGCCTAGGAAACTTTAAAAAGATTGAGCATTTTTTGTCTGAGGTAAGTCCATTGAAGAATGCCTCATTACACTGAGAGAAGGACTTACAAATTTGACTTTGCTCAAAGCAGTCTTCTGCCCAATTGATACCTTCCAAGCTTTAGCTGTGTGATTAGGGAAAATGTCAAGGATTCTTTCCTAAAACCCTGGGAGGGTCATTCCATATGATGAAGACAGTTCTAGTTCAATAAGTCCTTAGCTTAAAAACAGTTTTTAAGATTCAGCATGAGAATGGTGTAAGGTGATGATTACCAAGTTTTACAGAGGAGGCAAGGAGCTACTGCCACCATAGATAACCTCACCTTTATGGTATCCTCTATATAATCAAAGTGAGATGGGTGGCACAAATAAATAAATAAATGCCAATACATTTATCATGGAGCTACTGCTCTATAAGTCTTCCTTTTGCCTCATAGCCATTACGTTTCTTTCCATAGACTGCAGTTACCACATTACAAAGTTCAGCATCTTCCCTTGTGACTGCATCAAACTTGAATTGAATTCAGCCTCCTCTCAGACAAGTTCAGCCAACTTTTCTCATCCATGGCTGAAATTACAATATTTGGAAGATCCCTTTCTTGGTGAATATGGTGAAAGTTGACCCAATGATGTGTGTGATCCTGCTTTCTTCCCCTCCACCCTTTTCCATAGCAACCCGAAGAAATCCCTGCACCTGAGCTGTCTCCAGAGACAGAGGATGCAGAAAGTGAGGAGAATAAAGCTCAGCCAAAGCGCTTACATGTGTCCAACATTCCCTTCCGCTTCCGTGACCCTGACCTGCGGCAGATGTTTGGAGTAAGTCAGTTCTCCCCCCATCCCTGAAGAGATTCACCTGCCTTCAGTGTTGGGTTCCTTAATTTATGTTGTTTTCTTCCATTAAGAAAAAAAAAAGATCAGATCTTGAAATCAGCTCATCTAAAGAACATTGGTTTTGGGATAGAGTAAAAAAAAAACAAGCATATATTTTCAACAAATTCTGACATAATTTGGGCTTTATATATGGCTGTGAATTAGTCTCAGCTAAAGAACATTGGTTTGATGGTGGAATAATAAACCAAATAAACAAGCATATTCTTTCAACAAATACTGATATATAATTTGGACCCTAAATATGGCTGTGACTTAGTTTCTTGATAAGAACAGGGCTACATGTTGCTTCTGACAATGATTGATTTTCTTCCTATTTTCCAGCAATTTGGAAAAATCCTCGACGTGGAAATAATCTTTAATGAGCGGGGCTCCAAGGTACTGCATGGAGAAGGGCTTCCAAAGGAAGGCTGCGGATGGTCTATGTCCTATTAGCAGAAAAGAAGTTCAGGATTTGCTGATGGCAGAGTCAGTCAAGCTTGGCAAGCAATGCAACCTCATCGCAAGGTTGCATTAATTTTAGGAATGCGACTAATACAGCCAAACTTTTGCTAGTTATTCAGAGTTGCCCTGAACAAATGGAGAAGCAAATAAATTGAATGGATGGTCGGATAAAATTGCCTTGACACATTTTATCCACCTTAGATTGGAGACAATCTGAAATGCAGACTTTGTAAACAGCAAAATTTCTTTTAAAATACCTGAATATCAGGTATAGTATCTCCCTATACAAATCTTTTAGTTGCGATGGTTTGATCAGATAGAGATGACAAAACAAAAATATGGTGGAAAAGTGAAGGAAAAGAAAAACCAAAAAGTAATGTTGTGTAAATTGATGAGATCTTCACCAAGAAATAGGTGAGAAGCTTTATAAATAAAAGGTAATATATGAAATAACTTATAGACTTGGAGGAAACAAGTGATGATTCCAGGAACACAAAAAAGAGGAAGAGTAATTAATATCATGCCTTTGATTTCTTTGGCTTAGTATTTCCAGTTCTTTTGCTGTACTCCATATGTGTGTCCACATATTTTGGCTTGAAGTTTAAAGTCAAAATACAGAACTTAATTTATGTGGGGGAATAGCTTGGTACTTCCATTAGCATAAGGATGAAAGCTCATAAATCTCTAAATTTGTAGAATATAATCAATGACACAGATCTCCTGTTCTCTTAGGGTTTTGGGTTTGTCACCTTTGAAAACAGCCAAGATGCTGACCGGGCACGAGAAAAGCTAAACAGCAGTATTGTTGAAGGGAGGAAAATTGAGGTGAGAGTTTAACCTATGTATCATACAAGCATGTATCAGCCTACCAGTTTTTGCTTAACATGGTATTTACCTACTTTGCTGAAGATTCCACTCAAGATTTAATGTTACACTTAACAATCAGGGAAGCAGGATATACTATATGCAAGGAATACTTGAAGAGATTTATTCATGATTTATTTACCCAAAGTCTTGCAAAGACTTCTTCAAGGACAAATTATAATAGTAGTCTGCCTTTCTTTCCAGAATTAACTATATCTTGTTGCACAAGTGATCTGACTTCCTGCCTTTTTTTCCTCCCATGCAGGTCAACAATGCCACTGCTCGTTTAGTCACCAAGAAACCCCCAGTGGCGCCTCTGGTGAATGGTATGCAATATGCTTGCTTCTAAATGCCATCTTTAAAACAAATAGTCCAGAGTTCTCACACTAGAGTATGACAACCAAAGCCTGCTCTTGTTCAAGGCAGCTCTTTCATTTTTTCTGACTTCATGGCATCTTTGAGTGATACCCCTAGCATACAAGTAAGTGCTTGGGGCAAAGGCAAGACACTCTGATTCACCAATGTCTTCCCCCAGACTCCAGGTTTCTGTTTTAACCTCCAGAGCCCTCAATTTTGGAATGGGTATGGCTTTTCTGCCTTTTTTTTTCATTTGGGATATTTAAGGTTTTAAGGAATTGATGTCATAAACTTTTTAGACGCTTAATCTCAAAAAACATTCAGCCTTCCCTTTCCCCAAGCATTAATTGAGGAAGGAAGTTAAGGAGCCAAAAGCATGCCTTAATCATTGGCCAGGCTTAACATACCCATTCACTATTACTGCCCCAAAACCTTGCAAAAATGTACTGAAAATTTTGGCCCCGTCCAAACCAATGATGTTATGATGTCACTGGCCATGACTCTGAGCATAAGAAGGATGATGATGTTGCTGATATATCTCTAATCTCAAGAAAGCTGCCAGTTCTGACTGACACAGTGCTCTGTGTCTTTTTTATTTGTTCCAATGCATTATGGCTAAACATACACAAAGTACTTCACTGGGCTGGTACAGACCTGTTCAGCTTGATTAGTTTCTTGTGGCTTAATGTGTTATGCAAATGTAGCCAGTTTGGTTTTTTATCGCTCTTTGCTGGATCCAGATGCTTCAAAAGGTCTCATTGTTCAAGATTAATGTGTAAACTCAAAAAATGATCTAGTTCAGTAAGTAGGTTAAGAGTGTTGGACAAACCTAGCTTATAGCTTCCAGTTAATTTTGTTACAGTACTGCGGCCAGGCTGAGCTGGCCATTGGCCAGATCTTCAGAAAAGCCTTGGCAAGGTATAAAAAGCCCTCTATGCAGACAGTAGGAATGGTTCTATATGGAAGACTTAGGCTTCAATTGTCTGGAACCTGCTACAGAGTCTGAGGGGATAAAATACATTTGATATCACACTCAAGGTCTGAGGCAGACCATCATCTGTTGAGAGGAAAATCTAGCACTGATTTGTTTTGCCCTACCCCAACTTTCCCTGATAATTAGAAACTCTGATATTGGGGAAGCTAAAATTTATGCCAGGATATTCTCTACCCTTGACACCAGCCAAATATTGGGCCTCTAGATCCAGAATTCCTAGCAATGGCAATGCTGTCTAGGAGGTGAAATCTATGTCTCTGGAAGGTGCCCAGGCTAAAAAAAGGTTGATTTGGATCCTAAGCGTCTCTATGCCTCTACTACACTTTTCAACTGTAGAAGCTATATACAAGCAGGAATTTGTATATAAAGTTAGCAGAATAAATGAATAAATAAACAGGGAAATTTGTAATGGAAATATTTTAAGACCCGCAAGCATGCAGATTCCACAAAGACACAATTTCTGCCCTTGCATTCAGTTGCTGGGGTGTATTTGCAATAGTTTCCAGGGTTGGAGTACTCCAACTAACGAGACAGAATTGCTTCAACTGGCTGTCCCCATCTTTTTAAAACATACATATGCAACTTGGTATGTCCAGTCAAGATTGTGCAGGTTCTCGTGAGTTGGGAAATTGGCCAGATGTGTAGGATGATTGGCAAGGCAAGAAGAAATAAGATAGGAGGCATATTGTTCCTCTGATCTTCTCTGTGCTTGGATGTTTACAGGATGGAAGATCAATCCTGTAGTTGGCGCTGTCTATGCTCCTGATCTGTACACAGGTTAGTGTGTTATGTGTTAAATTGTAGGAAACAACATCGAGCCACGGTAGCGCAGTGGTTAGAGTGCAGTACCGCAGGCTACTTCTGCTGCCTGCTGGCTACCTGCAATTTGGCAATTCAAATCCTACCAGGCTCAAGGTTGACTCAGCCTTCCATCCTTCCGAGATGGGTAAAATGAGGACCCAGATTGTTGGGGGCAATATGCTGACTCTGTAAACTGCTTAGAGAGGGCTAAAAAGCACTGTGAAGCAGTTTAAAAGTCTAAGTGCTATTGTTATATTAATATATGTGTGTACATCCACATGGAAACTTTTTAAATCTAAGAGAAAAATGTAACAATGTTAGCCATCCATATATATATATATGTATGGCATTCAGCTTTGTTCGGGTATTTTCCCACGTCATTGTAGTTGCGCTTTTAAAGTTGTAGCAACGTTTTGGCAGAATCTCATCTGCCATCATCAGGCTTCTGTATAATGTTCATCTTCATACAGAAGACTGATGATGGCAGATGAGATTCTGCCAAAACG